AACATCCATATGTGTTTTCATAAGCATAATATCATATTTCTTGAATTTATCAAGAATCTTTTCAATGTAGTGTGATTGAGACAATATGAGACTATCACATGTTCTAAAAATTTTAATTCCTAATATAACATCGACCACACCTAAATCCTTCATTTCAAATTTACTTGTTAGCATCCTTTTTGTAGTTTGAATTATGGTATCATTGTTACCCATAATCAACATGTCATCTACATATAAACATACCATGACATATCCATTTGGAGTGTTCTTGACATAAACACATTTGTCACACTCGTTAATTTTGAAACCATTTAACATCATAACCGTGTCAAATTTTTCATGTCATTTCTTAGGAACTTGCTTTAATCCATATAGTGATTTAACAAGTCGACACACTTTCCTTTCTTGTCCTGAGGTCACGAATCCTTCAGGTTGGTCCATATAAATTTCTTCATCTAATTCCCCATTCAAAAAAGCCGTTTTAACATTCATTTGATATATATCCAAACCATTCAATGCTGCTATTGCAATAAGCATATGTATGGAAGTGATTCTTGTCACAGGAGAATATGTATCGAAATAATTAAGACCTTCTTTTTGCTTGTAGCCTTTAGCGACAAGTTTTGCTTTATATTTGTCAATTGATCCATCTGCTTTCATTTTCCTTTTGAAAATTCATTTACATCCCAAAGGCTTATTACCGGGAGGGAGGTCTACTAATTCCTAAGTATGATTTTGTAGTATGGATTCAATTTCACTATGAACAACTTCTTTCCAATATGAAGTTTCGGTTGATGACATAACCTCTTTAAAACTTTGAAGTTCATTTTCTAACAAGTATGTTAGAAAGTCAGGCCCAAAGGAGGTTGACGTCCTAGCTCTCTTACTTTGTATAGGTTGTTCATTTATAAATTCTTGATCTATAGTCTCTTCATTTTCACGAGATCTCTTTTGTGCATGTTATAAGGAAAAGTATTTTCGAAAAATATAGCATCCCTTGATTCAATAATCGTATTAACATCCATATCGGGTATTTCAGACTTATATACCATAAATCTGTACGCATTACTATGGTAGGCATAACCAATGAATACACAATCAATGGTTTTAAGCCCTATCTTAACCATTTTAGATTTAGGAACTACTACCTTAGCCAAATGTTCCCATACCTTCAAGTATTTATAATTAAGTTTGTGACATTTCCATACTTCATAAGGTATCTTATGCGTTTTTCGATATGGTAGTTTGTTAAGAATATAGTTGGCAGAAAGCAAGGTTTCCCCCAACAAGTTCTGCGGTAATCCAGAACTTATTAACATACCATTCATCATCTCCTTCAATATTCGATTCTTGCGTTCAGCAATACCATTAGATTGAGAAGAATAAGGCGCGGTAGTTTGATGAATAATTCCATGTTCCAAACAGAATTTCTCAAATGGTGAATCATATTCACCACCTCTATCACTTCTTATGGCCTTAATCTTTTTGTTAAGTTGATTTTCAACTTCTAACTTGTAGTGTTTAAATACTTCAATTGCTTCGTCTTTGCTTTTGAGCAAATACACATAGGAATATCGAGTACAATCATCGATAAAAGTGATAAAGTACTTATTACCTTCCCTAGTTTGAACAAATTTTAAATCACATATGTCAGTGTGAATTAAATCTAGGGGTTCGATATTTCTTTCAACAGAACGAAAGGATAGACGTGACATTTTGATTTCTACACATATATCGCATTTGTGATTATGATTCAAATCACACTTTGGTAATAAATCTAATTTGATTAGTCTAAGCAAAGTGTTATAATTTGTATGTCCTAATCGTTCATGTCAAATGTGAAATAACTCAAGCAAGTAAGAAGAAGATATATTCTTATTCATAATTGAAGGTACAACAGTTATTACATTCAACTTAAAGAGCCCCTCATTCAGGTAGCCTTTTCCTACAAACATTTCATTCTTTGAGAGTACAAATTTGTTTGAGACAAATACTAGCTTAAACCCGTTTTTACTTAGTAGAGAACCATATACCAAGTTTTTCCTAATATCGGGCACATGAAGAACGTCATTCAAAGTGAGCTCTTTTCCACTTGTCATTTTCAGCACTATCTTCCCATATCCTTCTACTTTAGAAGATGACGAGTTTTCCATACAGAGATGTTTATCATGATCCATCACTTTGTAGGTAGAGAACATCCCTTGGTTTGAGCATATGTGACGAGTAGCTCCAGTATCCACCCACCACTCCTTAATGTTTCCAGTTAAGTTGCATTCAGAGACGACTGCAGAAAGATTCATGTCTTGTACCTTATCAGTGAGGTTCTCATGTTCTGTTATATTGGCCTAGTAAGGTTTTCCCTTCACATTCTTTGGTTTTCGACAATCCTTGGATCGATGTCCCGCCTTGCCGTAATTGTAACAGTTGCCTTTAAACTTTTTAGCAATTTTTGAAGAACCAGTTTGTCCTTCACCATTGTGCTTCCTCTTTTTGCTAGTCTTGAAGCCTCATTCTACAACGTTGGCTTTTGATTCCATTGAATGAGATGCACCATTCCTTTTTTCAGTCTTGCGATTGTCTTCTTCTATTCTCAATCGGACAATGATATCTTCAAGTTTCATTTCCTTCCGCTTGTGCTTTATGTAATTCTTGAAATCCTTCCATGAAGGCGGTAATTTCTCAATCAGTTCAGCGATTTGAAATGATTCACTTAGTTTCATTCCTTCGGTATGGATGTCGCTAAGTATGATTTGAAGTTCTTGAACTTGGGATATGATAGTCTTGCTGTCAACCATTTTATAGTCCAAACATCGATCGACAATAAACTTCTTCGTCCCGGCATCTTCGATTTTATACTTGGTATCCAAAGATTCCCATAGTTCTTTTGCGGACTTCACATTGCAGTACACATTGTATAATGTTTTGTCCAATCCATTGAATACATAATTTCTGCACAGAAAATCAGAATGCTTCCATGCATCAACCGTAGCCAATTTTTCAGTATCACTGTCTTGCTCGGTATATGAAGACGCATCTTCTTTGAGAAATTTAACTAGATTTAATGTTGTCCGATAAAAAAAACATTTTTTGTTGCCAACGCTTGAAATCTAACTCATTAAATTTTTTTTTTATTTTTCCCTGGTCGTATTCGGGAGTGTGGTATCAGAAGCTACCATTTTTTAAACACAATCAGAAGATCAACTGTAAGAAGGAGTAGAAACAGTTACAGAATAATAGCGAAATTCGTTTTAAGATTGTTGTTTCTAGAGTTTGAAGTTACTCCTTCGAAAACAATCCGACAGAATCACTTGAATGTAAGAAATGATCAACATGATCCAAAATATATTTCGAGCCCACCGACTTCACGATATTTCCTTAAAATGAATTTGCTGCCTTCAATGGTGCTAAAGGCGTCCAGCAATCATTTCCTAGGATAGAACGAATTTTCGTCTCCTACGGAAGCAGCACTGCAATCTGCAGGAGTTTCAACGAACTCAACGAAGTGTATTTGACTTCGAAACAATACCAGAACGAGAGAGAGGAGAATACGATTCAAAGCACAGAAAGTTTGCAATGAAACTAGCAGAGAGGCAGACAATTTATAGACTTGTTCGTGGCCATTCGAACAGTCATCACCTTTTAGACAAACCTCAAAAACTCGGAACAGACGACTTTTAAACATCCCATCCAGACCAAAAAATCACCCGGAATAAGCCAAAAATTTAAATTTTGCCTTTCTGTGCTTGTGTCGGCCAGACGGCGACGACGCGCGGGTGTGAGTTTATGACTGAACTCAATAGGATATAGGTCTTCCCTCTTCCAAAGACTATTGGTACCCCTTGGGGCCCAAACCCAATTCCCAAACTTCCACCTTATAAACCACACCAAAGTTTCCTAACTTTCCTATGTGGAATAAGTGTTTGAAAAATCAAATTCTTCCATAATACTTAGTTTTATGTGGGTTACTTTAACACTTAATATTTCATTCAATTCTAAATGGTTTTCAACAAATGAATATATCACGTTAATCATCTCGCGGGGTAGAACGTGAATATACTAGATCCCGTATTAATTAAAAGGTGGGTCATACTAAAATTTGGGCTCAAAATTGATCCATTTCATAACCATTTTTCCAACATAAGTTGGGTAGAGCGGCCATCCTTTTTCAAAGGTAGATTTAGAGGTGGCAAATAGGTCGAGTCGTTTGTCAGTTTGTCCTCATCCTCATTCTCCTCATGGACGATTTGGGCTCGTATTGGAATATATGGATTGTTGTACATGTAACAAGCAAAATGGAGGATAGAAGAAGATCATCTCATATGGGACGGTGTATTGAAAAAATTGTGAGTTTCACGTGTAAGAGAGGATGTAGAGAGAGTGAAGATAAATTATAAAAAATTAAATGGAGGATGAGTAACATACCGTCCAAATATGAAGATTATATTAAGCATTCTCTACTTTCTTTCTGGGCATGTAAATTTTAGGGGCGATGTAACATGCTTTTAGGGCAATTCAGGCTCTCACCAAAGATGATCTCTGAATATGAATTGATGTGTCAGTGTGTCACTGTTCATCATTCCTAACTTGCTCTGCCCAACTTCATATATATCTAGAAATGGCAAAAGCTCAAGGCTCCTACATGATTAGGTTTATCATGCGAGCTAGGGCCATTCACTTTTTCCATGACTCTATTTTAGCAGTAAAAGTTTAAAGTGTCTTATAGTTTATGTGATTAGACAACACTAAGATCTTTAAATTGTCAATTCGATTTTGTATTCTTGAGGTGACATAATCTTTGATCTTTCATTAATAATCTTACAGTTGTCAATATGTGAATAATTGACTCAATCTCGAGTTGTAGACGAATCAAGTATATTGAATAATCAACATTTACAGGAACGTCCCTATTATTTCACTCTTATATTTTATATCCTTGACATGAAATGCAAAATACTTATACGGTTATGTGCATAACAAATGAAAATTTACTTAAAAGTAACTTTGAAGCTTAACCAAACGTGCATGCAATACTTGTATGACTCGAAGCCAGCTAGCAAGACATGAGCATTATCATAGACTACAATGAGTAGGTAAAGATTAAAAGCACATGGAAAACATTAAACTCATAAATATACATAATTAGCTTTTTTTTCTTGGCCCTGTTACAAAAGCAAGAACCTTGAGACCTAGTCTGGTAATTATGATTTTCTAAAATCCCAGAATTCACCAGCATTCCAAAAAGTCCCAGCCATTCCTTCGCCAAACCAATCAATCTCTTCCATCTGCTGGCACTGCGAGCGCAAAATCTCCTGCTGCGACTCCATTTCTAAAATGTTATTACTGCTAATGTCCACATGGTAACCATCATCTTGAAATGAATTGTTATAAGCAGTATTCATTTCTGAATTCTCTGCAGTCAGCTGTGAAATTATCCCAGATTCTAATGAGTTACTGTGTGAATATTCCTTGTGCTGATCAGAATTATTCACCTGGAACCTGTATTTAGGACATGGTGTAGTATTTATGGGAGTTTGAGTTTCCAAGGTAGAGATGGAAGAAGAGGGAGAGGATGTTGCTGAAGAATTTTGTTCCATTTTTTCAAGCAATCTTGGTACCCAAAACCGTCGGATTGCTTCATGAAATTTCTTGCTATTTCCATCAATCTTAAGTTGCCGGGCATGTTTCTGCACCCTAGTTCTCCAGTAATTCTTGATTTCATTATCCGTTCTTCCTGGTAGATGCTGTGCAATCTTTGACCACCTGCAATTACAGTGTCGTGTCGAGGAGATAAGTGTACAGAACCCAAAAAGAACCTCAAATTACAATCATTAATCAAAATTTATAGCAAAGTATCCACCTGTTTCCCCACTTGCAATGGAGCTCAAGGATCAAGAGCTGTTCTTGTGGGGTGAGGTTTCCATGCTTAACATCAGGCTTCAAATAATTCAACCACCTCAACCTGCAGCTTTTCCCTGTTCTCTTAAGACCTACACCCCCACATTAAAACGTGAAATTAAACTCAGAAATTAATACTGCAAAATAAGAAGATTACGAAAGTTTTTAAAAAATGATGTACCTGCAAATTTAGCTAAGTAATTCCAGTGGCCTTCGCCATGACTAGTTATGTAGCGAACAAGAAGATCATCTTCCTCAACAGTCCATGGCCCTCTTCTTAGCTCATATGCATCTTCATGTGTATTAGTGTTTATCCCAAGTCTACTCATGATGAGGCAGGAGAAAGAAGATAAGAATAGGAAATTTTAATTTGTTTCTGGGATTAAGCCAATAACTGATTATTTGTAGGGGTTGGCAATTAAGGAGGATCAGCGGAAAGCTAAAAAGTAGACCCCAGTTAAAAGAGTTCTCTCCACATGTTATGGCTTTTGTATTTTTATGGCAACAGCCCACAGAGAATTTTCTTTCATGGACAACTTTGATCAAGAAAGAAAAGAATGCTCTTATGAGCATCTAAGTCTGCGGGAATTCTCAAGAAAGAACGAACGGTGATAATTAGCCCTTGTTTGGTAGGATTAAAATCAAATTTTTAGTAAATTTTAATAAAAGATGATGAAATGTGTGGGTTTCATGAAATAAGGCCCCGTTTGATACAATAAAATTTCCATGGAAAATGATTTTCCACATTTTCCCTTGTTTGATTAGTATAATTTTTTTGGCAATTGATTTTTCTTCCCCCTACGCTCCACGTGACCCCTTTTTTCCTTGATTTGGTGGAAATTGATTTCCCTTTCTAGGTTTTTATTTTTTATTTTCTTAATATTTTTGAACAATGAAAATAAATTTTATTCACAATTGTACAAATTCTATCATTCTAATTGACAATTTTCATGAAAAACAAAGTCAAATGAACATCAAAAGATAAAATTTTTTAACATTTTTCAAGTGAAAAATTATATCAATCAAACATATTTAATCGACAATTCCCAATAAAATATGTTTTAGGCAATTCAATTTCTTAAAATTCGTTTTCTTTCCACCCAAATTCTATTATTGCAATCAAATAGACCCTAAGTGATTAATATTTATTGTTGACTTTAATTTAAATTAAAATTTAAAATTTAATAGAAAAAGAAGAAAAGAAAATGAAATAAGATTAAGGTAATTCGTATGAGGCCCACAAAGTAGTAACTAGTAAATAGTTGGCTCGACCCCAAGAAAATGAAAAGAATAACACTATCTAGTTTAGCTAGTACTAGAGTATCAGTCTAGCTGATAATATAATAGATTCAATTAAATGAATCACATGATCTTCTATTTAAATCAATATATCATTAATATTTCATGTTGTCATATAGATCAGCATTAAAGTAAAGCTAGATAAAACCAATATAATTAGATAACATTACTCAAATGAAAAGGATGTATTCAGAGATAAGATAAAAAAGTGTGCAAAATTAATACGAGACCCTAAGATTAATGACATATTGATTTAAATAGAAGGTCATGCGATCCATTTAATTGAATCTATTATATATTATCATCTAAACTGATACTCTAATGAAAATTATGTATTCAGAGATAAGATCAAAAAGTGTGCAAAATTAAGACGAGACCCTAAGCTTAATGATATATTGATTTAAATAGAAGGTCATGTGATCCATTTAATTGAATCTATATCCATGGTAAAAAAGTGACATCAAACAATGTGAAAGATGGAAAGTGGAATTCAATTTTCCATGGAATTCATGGCCAATCAATCAGGCCCTAAGATTAAGGTAATTCGTATGAGGCCCACAAATAGTAACTAGTAAATAGTTGGCTCGACCCCAAGAAAATGAAAAGATTAAACTATCTAGTTTAGCTAGTACTAGAGTACCAGTCTAGATGATAACATATAATAGATTCAATTAAATGAATTACATGACCTTCTATTTATATCAATATATCATTAATATTTCATGTTGTCATATAGATCGGCGTTAAAGTCAAGCTAGATAAAACCAATGTAAATAGATAACATTACTATAATGAAAAGGATGTATTCAGAGATAAGATCAAAAAGTGTGAGAATGTTATAGGCGAAAATTAAGACGAGACCCTTGACTAATTGAACTTGGAAATTTATTGCCAATATTTCTTTCTTTTTTTTAGTTATTGACTTTTCAACATTTCAAGTTTGAAAGTTCAAGGTACATTGATTCACAAGTCACCCTTGCAAGGCCACTATCGCAACTCGTCCCTTGCAACCCCAGCTCTTAATTAGTTCCTGCGATCCAAATTATTCTCTACAACTCACTCCCACCAACTCGCCCTCTACAATGTTTTCCCAATTGCGTCTAGTCTTGGATGGGATTTTGAGGGCGTGGGTAGGATACTTAGTAGGGCGATAGAATTTTTTATTTGTTTATTTTTTCTATTTTAATCCAAGATAAGTATAAGTATGTGGGTTTCAATCTTACTTATTTTATTTTGACATTTTTAGCCCTGTTTGACAACCTTTAAAAATTTAGGCCTATTTGACGGCCTTTAAAATTTTGAATTGTTTGCTATAATATCATTGTCCACTACATATTCACATAATTAAATATACACACCAACCAATAAATTTTCTTTACTTTTAAGCACACATTCTCTAACACATACTATTCAAAATTCTTTAATTTATCAAATAATGGATGACAAATTTGTTATTAAATTGTTTGTTATAGTATCATTCTTTACGATACATTCATACAATAAAATATTCTACAAACAAATTAATAAAGTTTTCTTGCTTTTAATAATTTATTTGGACTCATCTGTAATTTTTTTAAAAGTTTGGGAGTACAATTACAATTTGTTCTTTACTTTTTCTTTTCTTTTTTTTTTTGTTTTATTTAAATAGGAGGTCATATTGATCATTTTATATATATTTTTTAAATTTAAAAAAGGATATTTTCCGTAATAAAAGGTGAAAATATGAGGGAAAATGTAAAAAAAGATGAGAAGTATGGACGTTTTATACAATAACATGAAAAAGTCGAACATTTTGTAATAATTACCCCTAATACTTTGCCTCCTATGATATTTCTTGGAGTACACATCATGCACTCGAATATGACTCCTCCATGTTGCAATTAATATAGGCTTAGAGACGTTCACAAAAATCCATGGAACGGATGGAGAAATGTTATCTTAATAGGCCTACATGTTGAAAGTGAACTTCTATACGGTCATTTTATGGGTGTACTGATTCCTTTTCCTTCGTTTTCATCGAATTTTTCTGCAAAAAAAAACGTGCTTAACTTGTTTAACAATTTATAAAACGTGGAATAATTTGGTTTGATAAGTAGTCGGTAAAAATATGGTATATAAAATATTTTATTAATTTCAGCAGTGATGCCTTCCAAAAACACAACTTTTGTTTACCCCTATGTTTCTGGTCACTTTTTTGCCTAGCCCAAAGCCATTTTGGAGTCAAAGATTCGAGTTTTTCATTGGAAACGTGCTAGCATAAATGCAATGGACTTTGAACATTTTCAAAAAAATCTCTATTTTTAAAGAGCATATTCTATAATTTAGAGAGTATTTATAAATTTAAAAAGTAAAAATTTTGAAATAATCCAACAACCATTTTAAATATAACACATAATTTTACTACTCTCAAAAAAATATTTATTATATTTCTTTATCTTTCATTTTAATTAACTTTCCTCTAGATTATTATATTATTTTCATACATTAAAAATTGAAATACTTTAAATGCATATAATTATAGAAAGTGAGTTTGGTTCTTTAAATTTGGAGAGGCAAATCCACTTTCTAAATTAAAATATAAAATAAAAGAATCTCTTAAAACATGATTTTAAGAATTTACTTTTTAAAATAGAGAGCATCTCGCGTTTAAAGAGTCTCTTGAAAATGCTCTTAATTAGAGAGGGGTTTATATGTGGTTAGGGATGTGTTGTCACTTGTTAAATAGTTAGTTACAAAATTGAGTTTATCTCTTTGAAACTTCAAAAAAAAATTAATGCTATTTAATACTAGTTTAGATGTTTAAACATTATAAGTTCAATTAAATAAGTCACAAGGATTTGTAATTAAATGCACCAATCATTTAGAGCTTGTTTGAGCTCCATTTTAGTGTCAAAAATTCATTTATAATAGTATTATGATGAAGAATGTGTGGTTAAAAAATAATAAAAATTTTGAATTTATGTTTAATATTATTTTATTAAAAATGTGTGATTAAAACGAGGTCAAATCATTGTTCAATAATAGATTTTGATAAAAAAAAAAAAAATGAGGCTCAAACAAGAACTTAATACCATGTAAAACTACGGACTAATGCTTACACATGGTAACGAATAGCATTACTCCTTCAATAAGTCTATATTTGAACTTTGTCCACTCTTCTCATTTGAAAATTAACTAATATTTAGTGAAGACATGTCATCATTATTTGAGTGAACCCATGAAACTTAAGAGCAGCATTATTGTTCCCCAATTGAGATTTTAAAATCTAGGAAAATTTTATTTTTCTTACTAATAAATCAATTAAAATTGATTGATTAGGAAAATGTGATTTTTAGTGTGTCATACATTATCTTATGAAGTAAACAATATGCCAAGATTAACTCATAAACGTGTACGAGTTAATTTTCAAAATTTGAGAATATGTGAAATTGTATATGTTGAGACCGATTGACCAATAATGCAGGAATTGAGATTTAATTAATACAATTTGTTGTAATTGAAGTATTGAACAATATCACAAATAATCCAAGAACAAGATTAAAGTAAGTAAAAGAAGAACTGACAGAAGGAACGATATTTTATTAATTCACTATGAAAGGAGAGTACAATACAGCAAAAGGCTTCAATAAAATTGACAGAGGAGCCTTGTATATATAGTAGAAAATCTAGCCCTAAAAGAGTCCCAAAGAGGTAAGAAATTTAATGCAATTTAGACTCCTATTTGAGTCACACTTCTAAAAATCTCCACCTTGACTCAAATTTCGGTGCAACGAACGAAGCTCCAAAATTTCTCCACCTTGAGAAATGATTTGTCTGCATCAGAATAACCAAGCTCCTCAACCCAATAACCAAACTCTCTACGAAAACATGTTCCTCCACCCCACGTCCACACGTGACACCCGAACCCAAACCCGGGTCCCCAAAATTCCTCCTGGAATTAACAATCACTGGATAGAGTCGAAGCACACCCTGTAGCAGAAACCACACCAAATGCACAATCAGAAGGTCCCTTGCCAATATTGTCACCTTCAATGATTTCTAAAACATTACAGACATCTCCAAAACTGTACCTACGCTCCATGAGCCCATTGGCATTACAAGAATATAGTGTACTTGCTAAAATTGGTGGCAAAGCGGAATCACCAACACTTCCTTGAGCAAAGTTCTTAACTGACCTAGAGCCAAACCGAGAGGTACTGTACCAAATTGAGTGTCCACCACGGTATTGAACTTGTCCAAATGTCTCTGAACTGGTTCCGCGC